GGGAGAAATTTGTTGACAAGCAATTTTTTACTAGGGAAGTAAGCCCTCAAGCTGTAAGGTATCTTTGGTTAGAAAGGAATGCTTCCATAAAGAATAATAGGATGCATCAACCAAGTGAAAGAAGTATTAACCAAGAAGGTTGGTCGACGAAGACACCAGCTTCGGAGGCAGGCTCAACAGATATAAATTTCGAAAGGAAATAATACGTGGAGGCAAGAGTAGTTATCAACTTACAAGCCAGCAAGAACGTGAGGGTGTTTCAAAGCAGTTTATGGCAGTTCACCATAAATCCCAACATGGGACTAGTAACCGTCGAAGGTTACACTTTTAGAATTTCTATTTAAGCAAACATTTGCATTTGTGTTAGAGGTTGCATTTCTTCACATTTAGAGCATTACACTCAAAGTACCCGCATCTAAGAGAGAAACGAGTTTAGGCTTAACAATGTATGAATGCTCCCACATTTCAATTCAAAGCAATTTCCAGTTTTTACTTTAAATTACAAGTCTTGTTATTTTTGCTTTATTTTCTTTACTTTGCAATTGTCCTTTACTTTTGCCTTTTTATACATATGAATCCTATATCAACCAGTTTTTAAACCAAAACACTTGAAACACTAACTCGAGGATTATTGTAGTCGATTGTGCAAGTAACCTTTAATAAGAGGCTAGAGATTGTTCATGAGAAACAATAGGTTAATTGACAGACTGAAAATAAAGGAAGATAATATTATGATTTAAAACTTGGTTGAATTCTGATTAAGTGCTATAGTACTAGTAAGATTAGTCACACTAAGAATGTGGTACTTTATTCATGAACTAAACACAGACACCATTTTCTTAGACATCATATTGAAAAAAGGGGATGTTGTTTTTGAATACATTGACACTAAAAGTCAGCTTGTTGACATTTTTGCAAAACCATTGTCATCAAACCTTTTTATAACATATGTAGGGATTTGGGAATCTTAGATTCCCCGTGATTTAAATATAATAAGTATTCTTCTTAGTTTCATTTTCTATATACATATATTTTGTTTTCACTAACACTATCTTGTAGAAAATCTTACTTTGCTGATTACATTGGCATGTCCCTAAACTCTATTAATGTGTGTGTTTGTTCTATGTACTCATTTGTATGCTTTCTACCTCTTTATTATTCTCATTTTTTGCCTCAACATGTGTTTGATCTTCTTTGCATTTAAAATTTTTAAACGCGTAGTGTTATTATGTACATTTGAGCATTTGTACAATTGATCATGCACTACTTATCATTCTAACACATTATTTTTTATTGTATTTTGATCACTATTATTTGTTGTTAATGAAAATGGTTGTTTCATGTTTATGTTGCATTTTTTTTGCATTTAACATGTTTATCTTCATATTTGTATATGATCTTAGTTTTTGTATATTCTTTTTGCTTGTTTAAGCTCATTTGTTCATCTGGAATTACTTTTGAAGGATATTTTTATAGACTTATAACAATTTGTATCTCTTTTTGATATTGTCAAAGAGGGAGAAGTTGTAATGAGTCTATGATTGGCTTTATGTGTTTTATGTTGTGGTTTGTATGCAATGTTTCAGGGGGACCACAAGCTTTTTTTTTTTGCTTTTGGCACATGTCGACTCAATTACAAGTGAAAACTTGCCAAGCATAAAAAAGAGGGAAACTGTAGATGCACATCCCTATGGGGAGTTGGTTTCATGTACTTATCATGTGCAATGGGAGAAACCGCGATACAATTATTTTGGTTCTTGTCTTATCGCTTTCGTTTATTATATTTTATTGAGTCACCCTCATAAATAGTACACTACGATCAAGTTTGAAATCGATTTGTAAATCTTTTAGCAAGCATAAACCTTTGGTTATGTTTGAACTTGATCAAGATGTTCTTATTCAAGTGCATGAGTTTGTGAAATAAAAGCCTTGTGTGTTTAATTCAAATCAAGTGCAAAGGAAAACTTTAAAATCATGAAAAACTTATGTTTTGATGTATTGATTCGAGTCAATCATTTATACATAATATTTGATTCGAATAAAATCAAATAGAAGTGACCAAAAGTTTTCAAAAACCATTTGATTCGAATCAGGTTTTACACATGATTCAAATCAGACAATTTCCTATCACCTATGTCCAAATTGATTCAAATTGTACTTTGCACATGATTCGATCATGCAATTTTTTTTGGTTTTTCTAAAGTTTCCTGGAGCAATTGATTGAAATCAATTATTGCAGATGATTCAAATCACGGGGCCTACTATTAGAATCACACATTGCACTTGATTAAAATCAACTACAAAATGGGTCAAATATCTGAATCTCTTTTAGTCCATTCACTTGCTTACTTGACTCATTACATGAGTTGACCTTGATTTAAACCTAACCAATATTTTTAAATCTTTTGTGTGCTTCATCTCAAGCACATATATAAGCTTTGCCAACATTTGTTCTAGTGAGATTTTTCATAACTGTTGTGAAGATTTTCATAATCATTTGTGAATTTCTGTGAAAAATAAATCACCTCTTTTGAAACCTTTGCATTAGAAATCTTTCATCTTTAACCAAATTTCAGTTTTCATATCTTGATCATAAGTGAATGTTAATTAATGGGGGGATGATGTATTGAAACTAATCATTATTATATATTTGTTCAAATATTTTTCAGGTTCTTGCAAGATTGGGGTTATTGTCATTGGTGTTGACAAATTCTAATGCAAAAAAGAAGGTCTTGTCTCCAGAATTGCCTTAGTAGTGACTGTGTGGAAGGCTATGAATAAGGCAGAGTTATTTTGTTTTTGCATCTTTAGACAATTCACAACTTAAGGAATCAGTCGGATAAAGGGGTTGATTTCTACACACAAGGCTCAAGGTATATTGACACGACTTCTTTATTCTTCCCTAGCATCCTTGTGATTGCCATACTTGAGAAAGACTTCGTTGGATAAAGCTATTATTTAAAATATGAATATCTTAACCGTACAAACTTCCAATGTCTCCCTCTTAGAAACTACTTCTCAGCAAAGACATTTGTGCAAGTTATCTTCCAAGGTCTCTTTTGTTGCTTCTATATAAGTGTTTGAACTGCATTATAGCGGCAAGAAACAAAATTTAAGTTGGAATTATTTCGGGTTTTATCGTATCCACAAGGATCGGTGTGCGGGAAAGAATGTCATTCAATAGTCTCTGCGTTTCTAAGCTTGGTTTTAAATGTTTTAAAAGTGTAAAGTACAAAAATTAAATTATATGAACAAGAAAATAAATACATTCTTTGGATAGGAGAGAATTCGTCGGGTTTGAATTTCATCTACCCATCAAATACTTAAACCTAATGATAAATTGGATGCAATCTAAAACACTCGTCAATATCATCATGTATCACCTACAACCTAGGTTATGTCTAACACAGAGTTGAGAGAACAACCGTATTATCTCATCAATGATGTCTCATGCAACTTAAGAACACAAAAGCATTAAGAACAAATATCCACTGTGAATATTAGACCTAAATCTATCTCTAGAGTTTAGAACCTAATAGATGCTCATCCAAGAACAAGATTCGAACCATATATGTCTGTAGCAACTCAAATCCTAGCATAAAGCAACAACAAGGATAAACATCGACATTGATTTGGGAAATAGATATAATACAATGCCATAATCAGTACATATATATAAAATCAAAGTAAACTTACATACAAACCCCAAAAAAGGAAACTATAAAGGGAAGAAAGGAGAAGAATCAAAATCTCTTGTGGTGTCAATCACGGTCAAAGAAGCTTCAACCCTGAATCATTTGATTACAACCTCCATTGTTATTGTCAAAACTCTCTAAACTTAAAGAATTAATATGATGGAGTTGGGACAAAAAAACCCCAAAATCATACATACAAAATTTGTTCTAATTATAAATATACAAGTTCTGTTTCAGACAAATTCACCCGGAGCCCAAATAATTCGCCCAAAGAATTGTCCTTTTACACACAAGTCAGCCTGCGCAAAACACACAGCCTAACACAAAATATTTGACTTCGCCTGACGAATTTGCTTTTACCTCCGACGACCACGGCGCAAAACCAAGACAAAAAAGCTACTAGAATTCTTCATGTTGAGCTCGCCCAAGCCTCGCTCCTTGATCGCCCGATGAACAACTTGCTTCTGGCTCGCCTGGAAAATTTTCCAAGACAAAGCTCCTTTATTCTTTGGCTCTCTTTGCTTTGAGCCTTATCCATTTATTGCTAGAAAAACACATCTTTGAAGTTGTGCCTTTGGCTCTTATTACTCAATACTTCATTTATGCATGAATACCTACAAAAGAGATGCAAAACTATCAAATGATACAATATTTACACGATTATACATAATATATACATATTTATATACAAGTTGAGGTTTATTCAAAGGATTTCAACAAAATAAGTTGATAAGTGCCACAAAACTATAATTTGGAACTTACCAATAAGGAGTTGAAGATTCAAAGGAAGACATACAACAAGACATTACAACAATAACTGATCTGATCACTAAGCTTTCATATATATTTGTTGTATTACACATAGTCTTGAGATTTCTTATATTTGTACATCTTAGAAACCTTAAGTAATAAGGTCTTTGATCGTGTTGTATTATTTGTGTACCTCTGATTGTATATAAAGTACATCTTGTTGTAAATCCTAAACATTTTGTTTAGAATCTGTAAAGTCTCAGACTGATTGTTTGAGCAAGGAAGTCTCTAGCTAGGTTGCTTGAGCAATGAAGTTCTGAACTTATGTGTTTCGGCAAGGAATTCTCTTTCAAGATTGATTGCGCGGTCTTGGACTGGTGTGTTTAAGAAGATTGTAATCAAGTTTTGATTATAATACAACATCTCTTGTGGGACAAGGGGAGTAGACTACTCTCGGTTGGAGAGAAACATCTTTTGTGGGACAAGGGGACAAGGGCACGCTGCTTGTATGCTCGTGCGTGGGAGACTTAAGCGTTTAATTTGTTTCACGGTAGAATGGATAAACATGTTCTTTGTGAAAAGATTTGCGGTCGCTCGGGGCGGAGATAGTTTGATTGGTTAAGTTGCTTTTAGGTGAAAGACGCGTATCGATTCAAGCAAAATGTACACTCTGTTTGCACCAATTACTCATCTCCCGTACAAGTAATCTTTCTAAACAAATTTTAGGATGAAAGAGAGAATGAACTCTATGTACATTTGTTTGTTCTTCGAGTATCCTAAATTTAGTGTACATTTTGGTTGAACCAAAAATTTAAAAAGTCTTATTCTTTTATAAAATCAATTTTAAAATCAATTTATAATTTTAATTAAACATTTTCAAATACATATAAATATAAAACTTTTTTATATGACTAATTAATCACAATTAGTATGATATTAAAATAATTAAGAACCGACTTAAAATAGAAAAGAAGTTCGATAGTAAAAAAATACCTGAGTTAAATTTCTAAATTGTTAGGATAAAACAAATCAATTGATAATTATGTAAAAACATTCGAATATAAAAACTAAAGTTAAAATTCCAAATACTCGAATTATTCACTTTTTCAAATAAAAATCATGAACCTCTAAACACAAATAAATATTCTTTCTTTAAGTCGTAATATTTCCCATCTCATCCAAAATCTTTTAGGTTTCGATTGTTTAGTTTAAAAATTAAAACTTTTACTATTAAATTATTAGAGAAAAAAATTAAAATTTTAAATAAAATCCGAAATAAATAAAAAATAGACACACCAACTTGACAATATATATAGTGAAATCTTGAATATAAAAAAGGAAACAATGTATCCTAATTTGAAAAAATCAATAAGTTTGATTTGACCATAAATAAATAAATAAACGGTTGAGAAGTAGAGAATAAATCAAGCAATTAAACCTCCCCACGTGGCACTCCACGATAACGACAATTGTACGCGTTGATGACGCGTTAGTAGACTGCTTAACGCGCTTTTTTTGATTCTCATCCTCTTCCTCTTTATGTCTCCATTCAATACTCTTTCAATTCTATTTCTATATATATTCACAAGATCCCTGTTTCTCTCTTCTTCAACTTCTATTCCAATTTCACAATTTCATTTCTATTTTCAAGGTCACTTCCCTAATTTTTATCATCAATTTTATACCATCTTTATTTCTTGATCAAAAAACGGATCATCAATTTTAATTTTTTTGCATGCAATAATATTAATCAATTTCGTTGCTGAAACTAATTTGGATTGGATTGGATCTGATTCCGTTTTGAAAATTTGTGATTGTTGATCACCAGGTGTTTGTTGTTTGGTCTGAAACAGATGGGAGGTGGTAAGGATGGACATCATGATGAATCTGACAAAGGGGTGTTTTCACATCTTGCTCATGGTATAGCTGGTGCTGCACATGGTGGAGGTTACCCTCCACAACATGGGTATCCTCCTCAACAAGGGTATCCTCCGCAACATGGGTACCCTCCTCAACAAGGGTATCCACCAGCTGGGTATCCTCCGCAACAAGGAGGATATCCTCCAGCTGGGTATCCTCCACAACAAGGGTATCCACCTGCTGGTTATCCTGGTTCTTCTGGTCATAGTGTTCCAGGTGTGTTTCCTTTTGAATTATTTCATTGTTATGTTATGCCTTAGTTACTCACTCGACACTAGACATAGATACCGATAATAATAATAATAATAATTTGAGAAGATATTGGACATGCCTGATCTGAATTGTCTTTGTCTGTGGTATATAGATTACAATTGCTTGAAAATTTGGATTTTGACAAAATGAGTTTTGATGTCTGTTGTAGTTGTAAAATTTATGATAGCAGGTGCAATCATAATGATATACTAATGCTGGGAATTCAGGTGTAAGTATTAAAAGATTTGGTATTGGTTAGGAATGGATTAAGTGAAGATTATAAAAGAGAAAAATATTCCATGTTCCCGATTCTATATGGTTTATGGTGAAATAGTGGTGTCAAGTTCTCAATTATGCTCTGTGTGCTGTGTTTGTCCCATTAGTCTAGGTCCCCAGCTTTTAGGGAATCTCATGGTTTGAGTATTTGGAGACAAAACCCATTAGTCTGATAGTGATAGGTGTGTAGCAACTGAGTATTTGGCTTAAATGAACATAGGTTTAGTACCCTCTTTGATCCTTTAACTTGACCTCAACCTTGGGGTTCATTTTGGTCCTTTATCTAAAAAAAGTATCATGTTGATTTTAAAGAGAAAAGACTCATGCTTTCAATGTATTGATTTGTTGGTCTGGATTGTGATTTATTGATTGTCCCTTGGAACTCCAAACAACTGATTATTTTGACAAAAACACATTTCGTAAATTGAGACTGATTTAATCGATGGATGTAATTACATTTGATCATGTCTTCTGGTGACAGTTTTTCCCTCAAAGTATTTCTTTTACTTAATTATTTATGCAATGCAGTGGCTGTTTGAAACTTTTTTCTGTTTTCTATGTTAACTCCAAAATCCTTGGAACCTGCTAAGTTTTCAAATGCTATCACCAGGGTCTCATGGACATGGTGGACATGGCGGTATAGGAGGAATGCTTGCTGGAGGTGCAGCCGCAGCTGCCGCTGCTTATGGTGCTCAACATCTCGCCCATGGCTCTCATGGCTCTCATGGTGGGCACTATCCACAAGGAGGCTATGCACATGGTGGCTATGGTCATGGTGGTGCTCACATGCCCCACGGAAAATTCAAGCAACATGGCAAGTTCAAGGGGGGAAAGCATGGCAAGCATGGAAAGTTTGGCAAGCATGGTGGAGGCAAGCATGGATTCAAGAAGTGGAAGTAAGGAACGTATATGCAATTATGGTTCTAAACACAGTGGCTTTATGCACGCTACTATATAAATAAACCATACTTTGTATGATGTATGCTTATCATAATAGGCCCCTTTCTTTCTTTTCTTTTGTCCTTCTTGTTTTGCTATTTCTATGTACTGGATCCTTTGAGCAAGTCTTGAGGTATTGGCTTATTGCTGAGTGCTGACAAATATTGACAAATTGATGTGTAAAATGGCTGTAGTTTGTTTTTAATTTGTTTTGCATCCTGATTACACACGTTCATTGAACTCATTTGATTGTTTTATTATTTTCTCAGTAATTGTTTGTCGATGAAAACATGTGATCATGTAAAATGGCATTAATACTTTTCTTTATCTTTTTTTATCAATATTAGTTCCAAAATATTATCTCATCATAAATATAACTTGTATTGTTGGGGATCAAATGAGAAAAACTATAAATACAGGATTGAGAAAAACAACTTCAGTTTTATGGCTGGTCTTAGAAATTGCGAGGTCTTTTGAGCCTTCATTTTGAGTTAAGTTGAGTTTTTCTTTGGTTTGGAATTTAAAATCCCAAAACGATATTTTTTGTTTTGGAATTGTCATCTGCTAAAGAAGAATTGTTGGAGGGAGTAACTTTTTGGTATTTAAAATGGTTTATGGCTAAAAGCTCTTGCGTATTCTGTACATTTTCATAATGGAGTTCCATTTTGTGCATGCACCAGTAGTTATTTTTAGGGACTGAATTCCTATATTTGTGTATTCTATACATTCTCATAATGGAGTTCCATTTTGTCTATGCATCGGTAGTTATTTTTAGGGACTGAATTCCTGTATTTGTGTGGTGTTCTTTTTTGGGAGGCTTGTTGGTGGCGTATTTATGTATATTAGAGATGAGGCGTCACACTGTTGTTTGTTCTCTTATGTAGTGTCATGCACTGTGGTGCATGCATGTAATTTTAAGAAGGAGGTGTCATATTAGATGGTTTGACAATTGTTGTTATTGTTATTTTTTAAATAATAATAAAAGTAATTAAAAATATTTTATATTAATATTTTAAATTACACAATGCATAGATACATATTTTTACGGACGTCTCCCTCAACCTAAGTGTGTCTCTGTATGACATAAACGTCTCCGTCTTTGCCTCACCCCTTGCCTCACCACTCTAAGTTGAATTCTCAAGGTCTGTTCTGACTCCCTTGATGATGAGGTATTTGATGTGATAGTCTTGGTACATTAGGATCTTACATCTCCTCGATCGTTTTTACACAAAGAACTATACAGATGGGCCAAAACAACATAGTTCCAACTATATGTGTTTATTTTATCAAAATGTCTTAACAAAGGTAAATACATGATATTAACAGTATTACCTGTTGTTTCAGGAAATAAAAAGTGACCAAATAATATTATTATGTAACACCGAGCTTTCACTATTTTTCTTGCTCGGTAGAGGTTTCGGTTATTACGAGACCATTATGATGTTCTCTAAGAAGACAGAGATTAATACCTTGGCCTCTAGATCCTTGTTCAAATAAACAGACTCCCAAAAGTTCCTCGCATATGGCGTTGTCTTGGTTGACTCGGCTATTGACAGCTTTACCATCAATCAGTAGACTGAATAACATGTACATGTCCTATAGTGTGACGGTACATTCACCACATGGAAGATGAAAGGTGTGAGTTTCGGGTCTCCATCTATCCACTAATGCAAAAATAATTTTATAGTCAACATGATAATTGACTATGTTGAGTAACGGATCAAAACTGGCTTGTCATAAGTACGGTTCAATTTGTACGTCGTAAGGAACACTCATGGACACGACAACGAAATTTTTTAACATCCTATTAAAAACATGAATTACGTATAAGAAATATAAGATTTACGTATAACAATCATAAGAACTACGAAAGTCAAATTTGTTGACAAATAATATGTGTTGAAGAAAATAAACTTACAAAGATTTTAATGTTGTTGAGAGTTCCTTTATATTGGTCACCCATGGTCAAGACAACCATTTTTTCTTGATTACTCTTGTGTTCTTGTTGATGTTTCAAGAAAAAAAAATAGTGTGTGAGTTATGATTGTGATGAAAATATAGTGTGAATGTTATATATATTTATAGGAAAATATAGAGAAATACTATGCGTTCACGTGAGAATGCTCTGCATGCAATTAACACGTAGGCGCCATCCTAGGTGGCGCATCCTTTTGTTTTTACATTAAGGCGCGGTGGCGCATCCTTTTGTTTTTACATTAAGGCGCCATTCAACATCGCTTGTTCCTTTTTACATGCATGCAAAGTTGCAGCGTGGAAGTGATCAGATGGCATGCTTGCAAGCTTGTCGTTCACGTAACAAGCCACCCAAATTGGCGCACGCTTACAAAAATTAGAGTACAAGCCACCCTAGGTGGCACATATGTTGTAATTTTAGAAGAGAATCCATCTTGGGTGGCGCATTAGTGTTGTATTTCCTATATTTTCATTCGTCTATTTAAGCGTCCGTTTAAGGCGCATTACTGGTGTACATCCATAATTCACAAAAACATACCTCAACATATGGATCATTCATAATATTATAGTATTGTTGCTCATATTAACAGTGAATCGTTCAACTGCGATAACTTCGGTTTTAATTTTCGTAATACCGATTTTATCTGCTTTAGGACAAACAAGAAGTCAAGTTTTGCACGTTTCAAAGATAGAATAGAAGAAAAATTGCAGTGTGGTCCAATTTACCAAATTCTTTATAAGTCTCCATTTCTATTTGACAGCAACCAAGTCAGATTTTTTCAACTAAAGGTGCGCGACAATGATGATGTTCGAAACATGTTTCGAACTCATGAGCAATCCATGTTCAATGAGATTGAGTTGTATATTTTATTACAACAACTTGATCAATATCAGGTGGTAGATCCTTCTCAGGATTGTGAAGAAGATGATGAATCTGACGAGGACAATCACCCCGAAGTCGATGTTATTGACCAAGAAGAATATGATGATGAGGCAATGATTGATTTTATGGTCAATGATGACGCTGCAGATCAAGAGCATGAACCTCTACCTACGAGTCATGTGTACGACCATCCGTTTCACATGACGAACTTAAATTTGGGGGAAGACGAACCACCCTCAGATATTTTTCACAATCCTTATATGCAGATCGAAGGGGCCTTGAAAGTTGGAGACAAATTTCGTACAAAAGAAGAGTGTGTTTGAGCTATCAAAAAATGCCACATGAAAATTTTAGCTGACTTCACTATAGATCGAACTAATTCAGGGAAGTATATTATTTTATGACGTCAAAAATCAAGTTTCCCTTTTCGGTTAACTGCATCTTACAGGAAGAGAAGTGATTCATGGGAAATATGTACCATTGATCCACTCCACACTTGCATCACCACCGTTCCGACGCAGGATCATCAAAAACTTAATTCTCAACTAATATGTCAAGAAACTTTGCCTCTTATTAGCAAGGATCCATCATTAAAGGTGAGTACAATTATTTCTCACATTGTTATAAAATTCAATTATACTCCCTCTTACAGGAAGGAATGGATCGCGAGGACTAAGGAAATTGAACTTGTCTACGGTAATTGGGGGGAATCGTACAAATAACTTCCAAGGTTTTTGGTGGCACTCAAATATTATGCTATGGGAATTGTTATAATTTTGGAGACACTCTCGGTATTTACCCCAGACATAACTCGTGTCAGTGGAAATGGAATATTTCATCGGTTATTCTGGGCATATGAACCATGCATCAAAGAATTTGCATTTTGCAAACCTATTATACAGATTGACGGAACTTGGTTATACGAAAAGTATAATGGAACATTACTCATGACAGTGGCACAAGATGGTAACAGTAATGTTTTTCCGATTGGCTTTGCTCTAGTTGAAGGTGAGACAAGTGGTGCGTAGAATTTCTTTCTGAAGAATCTCCGATTACATGTTACTCCTCAACCCAACCTTTGTTTGATTTCAGACATCCATCCATCGATTGTGAGTGCACACAATAACCCTGATAACGGTTGGTAGGATCCCCCTTCAACACATGTCTATTGCATTAGACAAATCACACAAAACTCCATACTCCATATCAAAGACAAGACACTTCAAAAGAAAGTTGTTAATGCAGGGTATGCTTTAACAAAACCATCATTCCAACACTATCACGAAGAAATCCGGTTGACAAACTCATAAGCGTTAAGGTGGATCGACAATATTTTGGTGGAGAAATGGACTCGGGCCTTTGACAATGGTCAATGATGGGGCCACATGACAACAAATTTGGTGGAATCATTGAACACTGTCTTCAAAGGCATCTGAAACCTACCAATTACTGTATTGGTTAGAGCAACATATTTTAGGTTGGGGTCATTGTTCAATACAAGAAATTCAAAATAGAGGGCAGTGTTACAACCAGGACAGTTGTTCAGTGAATGCACAATGAAATCATTTAACGAGGAGGCCGCCAAAGCTAACACCCATAGTATTACCGTGTTTGATTGTATTAAAGGTTGATTTAGTGTACAAGAGACAATGGATCATAATAAGGGGAGGCAAAGGGGATACTATCAGGTCTAACTAGATAGAAGTTGGTGCAATTGAGGAAAGTTTCAAGCATTTCACATGCCCTGCTCTCATGTCATAGCGACATGTTCACTTGGATCCAATAGGACGTTTACATAGTCAATAGCGTTTTAAATGTGTACATCAATACCTTCTCCGTGTTGGCAAAGGAGGATTATTGGCCTGCTTATCAAGGGGACATTGTTTGGCACAATGAACAAATGCGAAGGAAGAAAAAGGGCCGCCCCAATAGCATTTGTATTAGAACTGAAATGAATACGACCAACAAAATGATAAGATTATGTAGTACATGCCGTCTTCCCGGACACAATCGAAAAAATTGTCTGAATATTGGGTCTAGCTCTACAACTTAATTTTTTTATATCAAACTTTCTAGAGTAATTAATTTGTTGTAAGCAAGAAATTTCAATTTAAATTCGGATTTTCATTTTGTGTTCAAGTTAACATTCGATTACAACAACCTTCATATAATGGCCCAAAAAATTACAACACGGCAAACTCAAGACAACTACACAAAACACAACAATATGATAAAAATCATCAATACAATATTGTCAGGTCCAAGCATCATCATGACATCAGCGTCACATCTGACCTTTTTCCATGAACGACTTACTCATTTTCCGTTCCTCACTGTAATTTGTCTTTCTATTTTTTTGATATGTTCACCTTCAGGAATGTCTTCTTCCAACCATCGAATTAAGTGCCTCTGAAAAATATTCGAACATCTACGTGTTCTAAAGTTTGATCTTCATTGGAGGCTTTATCGCCGAAAAAATAACATGAGCATATCTTTTGATCAGTGAAAATCTTGACAATGGAGTAGAAAACGTTAAGGGAGTGGTAGACATTTTCTAAGAGTGATGTGAGAAATGGTGTGAAAATGGATGGTTGCATTTATAGAAAACCAAATATAACTTTCAAGTCATCTAATATGGCGTCTCCTCCCTAAAATTACATGCATGTGTCACACTGCATGACACTACATAGGAAGACAAACCATACAGTGTGACGCCTCTCTCTAATTTACATGCATGTGCCACACATAGTGGCTTGACCTTTGTGTGGCGATTTTTTTTTTACTTGAAAAATGATTATTCTGATAAATTTTTTTGAAAAAGTGATTATTTAAAAAAAAAAATTTAAAAATAATTATTTAAAAAAAAATCTGCAAAATATTATCTCATCATAAATATAACTTCTATTGTCAGAGATTGAAAGAGAAAAATTATAAATACAGGATTGAGAAAAACAACTTCAATTTTATGTATGGTCTTAGAAATTGTCAGTCTTAGAAATTGCGAGGTCTTTTGAGTTTTCATTTAGAGTTAAGTTGAGTTTTTCTTTGGTTTGGAGTTTATTGGTATAGGCCACTTGAAAATCCCAAAACGAGATTTTTTGTTTTAGAATTGTCATCAGCTAAAGTAGAATTGTTGGAGAGAGTAACTTTTTGGTATTTAAAATGGTTTATGGCTAAAAGCTCTTGTGTTTTCTAAACATTCTCATAATGGAGTTCCATTTTGTGCATGCATCGGTAGTTATTTTTAGGGACTGAATTCCTATATTTGTGTGGTGGTGTTCTTTTTTGGGAGGCTTGTTGGTGTCTCCTCCTAGGGTCTTCTATATTAGGATGCCTTGGTGTTTTGTTTTTGCCTTTCTTGTTTAGGGGTTTATATTTTTGGTATTGCAAGTTTTTCTTTTGTTCTTATAGTTGTATTGATTTTTCTACTCCTTTAGGGTAGATGAGGACTTCTGGTGTTGTTTTCCTTTCCTATGGACTTTTTCTATTGTTGTATTGCATTAAAAAAAAATTAATCGATCATGTATAATTCAACTCTTCACACGTTTAAATATGTACAAGTTTGGTTATTATTATTTTCAAAATGTGGTTAGATATGAAACCAAATATTAAAGTTGTATGTAGGTCGGATAACTCAATCAATTCGGTCAATCCAATATGAACTGAACCATTAAAATCACTCTAGGTAAAATGAATGGGTGATGATATTTTTTTGAATCATGAAATTGACGATTATATTATGGTAATGTGTGGATCTGAATCCAACCCATATGATCATGATCTAGGAGTACTTCTCTCACTCTAAGTGGTGGAGAAGTAATCTATGGAAATCTAAAATGTCTCTTACAAGTATATTTTCAAACACACTCATTCCAAATCCATACTTAAATGAATCATACTTCTCTTTTTATCTGACATTAGTCTGGAGATGTATTTCTATATTCATTCTATTATGTATTTTATCCATACCACAACGGTTGAAAAGTGATACGACAATGTTTGACCAACCGTTGTGAGGTAAGAGGCGGTTGTATATAAAACATGTATCACTATGGTTACACGCCTGTGGTGGAAGTTAAGTAGTGCTCGCCATACCACAACGGTTATAACTGGGAACCGTTGTGTTATATATTTAGGTCATGTGTTCGAAACCCATCAATAATAATTTATTTGAAATATTGTTACAATTTCACCACAGTTATCCTGAGTTTTTCTCTACACCTCATTAAACATATAAAACCATCAAAATTGATGTAGCAGATAATAATTTAAAAAATTAAGTTATTCTTGCAAAACAACTTACACGAACCATTACTTTTCAAATTACATTTAAACCGTAATTCATCTCTTGCTACTTAACACATAGTATTTGATTCGATAATCCAAGTTCTTCAATGCAACAGTTCATTCCTATTTTATTTTGCAAAACATCAATATGTTGACTATTTCAAAATCATAATTACCGCTATCATCATTATTTTAATTGATGATGATGGACATTATGATAACAATGACAAAGATGATTTGAAATATCTCAATAAATTTGATATTTTATAATATAAATTAATAGAGAATGAATTATTACTTTGAAGAACTTGGGGTAATAAACCAAATTTTACGTGTTAAAATGCAATAGATGAATTACAAGATACTTGCAATTCAAAAAACATTGAATGATCTAAATTGCATTTCAAAATAACTTAATTTTCAAAATATTTTTTTAATCAATTTCTAATCAATTCAATTAAATGCATGTTCTTCTCTTGGAAGTATCAAAAACAAGTTCTTGTCTTGGAAGTGGATAGGTGTAGGTTGTAATTCGTCTTTAGCACATCTTGCCCTTGTCTTGTTTTAGGAGGAGAGTAATTTTATCTGGCTTGAATACCCCTTGTACTAGTCTCTTTTGAATGAATCATTGCGTATTTGAAAAAAATTTATACTTGGGCATTAGATTTATTTAAAATTTAACTTTCATGATAATTTATGTAAATGTGATAGGTTGAATGAATGAATATATTGCTTAATGAATTGCTAATGACAGCTTAATGTGAAGAATATAATTTAACTAAAAAATAAATACGACTTAAAAAAAAACAGTAAATAATAATGGCTATTTCAATGCTTATTTCAGCAGCATAACAAATATCACATGTCAATGGGCAGTAAAAAATAACTTTTTCTGTATGAATAAAATGTGGAAGATATGAATGATACAGATGATTTTGAATGTTTCCAATACTTGTAATTTCTGATACAGACAACAAAATTTCTTATTGCAACACAAGAATCTGTCTAATCTCTATAAATAATATCTTACATCCTCAATATGGATACTGATTCTTCACTTCTGTGAGTATACTATGTTGGTGTTGACAATTACTTGCAAACCAAATCAATCACTTTTAGATTCATCTCTTCATTTTTCTATCCAATCTATCCAATATAGTGTTTTATCATACATAAACAAGAATCTGATCTCACAAGGGTGGGTGATCTTCCTCGGGAGATTGCGGAGGAATTGCTTTCCATCCAGGTTTCTCATCCCAGTACATATCATAATATATGTGGCCAATAGGTTTATCCAAACCACAGCACCATATGCCGACATACTGTTTAACGCGTCTTCTGAATCTTTCTTCCCTTTCCTTTAAAACATAAAAATAGAATGCATTGGCACGTGATAAGTAACATTAATTGCATTTGATATTTGGTCTTAACTTAAAAAGTAAAACTTCAAATGGAAAAAGGAAAGTGGTCTTGCCTTATTAGTGAAACCAGTGAAAGCGTCTTGCACTGAAGACAACTTAATGACTTTTACATCTTTGAATGATGAGAATACTTTCATAAACTGTAACAGCAAGTAGAATAGTTGTGTTACATTAAAGAACACCAAATTTAGTATATCAATGTAATTTATAGATTTAGAAAAGTTTAAACAGAAAATTAGCTTAGCAATAAACATAATCTGAGATATATAAGCTTGAAAAGAATATAAAAAAATACCATTTCTTCACTGCTATGTTTTGGAAATTTAAGTACTCCTCCAGCAGTGGTATTATATGATCCATCACAATCTTGAGTTCCTTCTTTACAGAGCTGAACATCAAGCCATGACTTTTTCACCTGAACTCAAGAACCAAAGCAAACAAGTTTAAACAAAGTAAGTAAATCAAGAAACGAAGAATCGTGATTAAAGAAACAAGAATCATGGCATTATTCACCTCTGACGGCAGAGAGGGGTTATCAAATATTGAATACTCTCTAAAATCTATTCCAGGGCCAAAGTCTTCTTTGGGGAGTTTTTTCAACATGACATTCACCTGCAACACAGCATTTCCATAGCAACATAAGGATGTGATGCAACTGATAAAAAGACGGGGAAGAGGACATATCACCTGCCATCTTCATGTTATGTTATCATACTTATTTATAATTTCTATATTAAATAAAATTAATTTTAACATCTTAATCAACTACTCAAATCAAATGAAATTTTTACTCTTGTTAATTTCTTTAATCAATGATTTTTCTAAACATTAAATATAATATTTGTTAAAAATCATTCATATATAAATATTTACATTTAGTTTTAAATTTTTATGACTATTAAAATACATTTTTATTATTATTTAATTCATTTTAAAAATTAAATGGGACTTTTTTATTTTACTAAAGTTCCAATGAGTTGCATGGATACTTGCTAGCTAAATATTAAATGCCATAAAGGAAATTGGAGAAAACAAAACATTCTCCAAATGATGTATTTAGACCATTGTGTAATTTTCCAGATGATGTAAGTGATATAGAGAAGTTCAAACAATAAGAAACCACTTAAATAGGAAATACCTCAAATACATGGTCCAAAGGACAAAGAAATGGTTGTCTAGTCATAGACCCCTCCAAAACACCAGGATGGGGATACCATAGCTTATCCAGCCTGCACCATAGTGGCGGCATGACCTGAACATGCCCAAAGAACTCAAATTAAGATAAAAATATAGAATATAAAAAGTTAAAATACTACAAGAAACGAAGCCACCAAGAACTAAACACCACACCGCTCAAGCTAAATCATCTGCCATGGCTTTAAAATTCATGTAAAATTGTATAATCGAACATCATTTCAACTAAAACTGAAAATCAGGACAGGTAATATACACCAATTCAACACTGGATACAGGTCATGGCAGACCTAGAGATCTGATAATGAGACACTTCTATTCAAAATGCAATATAGTAAACTGTATGATCCCCAAAATTTGTTCTTACCAGTGTTCTGTTGAGAAGGGAAGCAATTGCAAGGGCGGTCCTTATTTGCTTCATCTGGAAAAAAATCATGTGCAACAAATATTACAAAGCACAATATCAAAATTCCATCAATTGCAAACATGAATAGGATCAAGTCGATACGTATATACTTGGTGATTTATTAGAGTAAAATGTGATTCGACATTGTGCTCCCCACTTAGCAACAAGCGTTTTGGAATAGATGGCTTAAATGATAAGAATCCCCCTGCAAAAGTTCCTCCAAAGGTTAAGTTGTTATAATTTCACGTTATAGAGTTGAGTATTCAACCACAAGAAGAGATGGTAAGTGGTAAGCAATCTATTGACAGATAAATGAGTCGGCTTTTAGATTTCAGCATTCTAAATAGTAGGGTTATCAATGACGGATGGCGGACCATGGTGGAGAGCCTAAAACCCCGCCACTGATATCCGCCATGGCCGAAATTTGACATCAGCTAATAGTATGATGCAAGATTCAATGTGGACAGAGTAGGAACCAAACAAGTATTGACAGAGATATTAGTCTATTTGTACATGTGCATTCAAAAAATATCAAGTGAATGATCTTCACACCAAAATTTACAGAGAAACAGGACTACTTACCAGGAGGATTATAGTATTCTGGTGTATCAAAGAAGAGCATGGCTTCTCGTAATCGGTGGCGCTTTCCTTCAGTGCCTCCATATTGAAATGTTGTGTGTACTGCATATGGCTCCAACCTAAGTTGCTGGTACATAGCCTGCAATCATAATATAAAAATTAAAAAATTAAAAAAAAATCATGACAAACAGGTATATAAATCATTACTCTAGTTGATCCAAGATTCCTCCAAACAGTTAATTGCATAAAAGAAAACAATCTAATAGCACATGCTTAAATGCACTTCTAGTCCCCCTTTTGACCAAAATTAACTTATAGCATGTTTGGATTGGCTTTTGGAAGACCCAAAATTAATTCTAGAGGTAAAGAATTGTTTCTGGGTGATTTTGAGGTGTTTGTAATATCAAAAGTAGAATTGATTCTGCCTCCAGAATTGATTCTACTTCAAGCTAGAATTTGTAGCTTCTACCTCCAGAATTGATTTTGGGTGATTTTTACATTGAAATTTATTGTTCAAGCCACTTTTACATAAATGTATTCAAATATAAATCAATTTCGCTAAACTCAATTCTGTTAAAAACAATTCTACCAAACAAGGTAGTCAAAAACGAGTGTTGGGTCGTAAGATCTTACGTGCTGGGGAGGGAAATTAGTGCTAGGATCTGGAAAAGATCGTTTTTGGTTGCTGCCATAGTCAGGATCGAGTTTTTTGAGTAAGATCGTAAAAAAGATAGTGTTGGGCCTTTTTTTTTTGGGCTTTTAAACCGGGTCAGTTTTTTTAAAGTGAAAACCCAGTTTTTATTTAACTTGCAATCCTAACCCTAAAACAAAACAGAACAGAAACAGCGCTTCATTCTTTTCATCTTCACGAAAATTTTGCACTTCATCCTCTCCATCTTCAACTTCTATTCTCTTTTCCCCGAAAATATCAAACTTCTGTTTATCTTCTCTCTATTTAATGGCTTCTCTTGGAATGAAAAGCGACCCAGCTTGGGAATACTGTGTTTTAATTGATCCAGCTTCAAGAAAAGTGAAGTGTAAGTTCTGTGAGGGTGAGTTTACAGGAGGTGCGTATCGTTTGAAGCATCATTTGGCCGGAACCAGAATCAATGTTAGGCCTTGTTTAGCTGTTCCAGATGACATCAAGATAATAATGTTGGACAATGTTAAGCGCTGTTTAGCTGTTTAGATGATTTAGATGTTCCTTCCATTGTTGAAGATGATTAGACTTATTTGTTATATTTATGTTTTTTGAGCTACTTATGTTGAACTTGATCTTTTAAGCTTATCAAAATATGGAATAATGGTTATGAATTATTAACTAAATTAGTTGAAAGGTGTGATTTAAAAGTTATTTTGTTCATGTATTATAATTTTCATGTTTTTGTTCATGTGAATTTACCATTTTGTCCTTCAGTAAGATCTTAAGTGTCGTGCTACGATCCTAGCTTTACGATTTTTCAATCAGTTGAGAATTGTTAATTGAAAATGTCTTACCTGTACAAAATATGTATGTCCACTACAGAAGATACTAGCAGGCAAAATTCCCAGCTTCAGTTTCCCATCAAAAGCAAAAACAAGTCCACTACCATCATCAACGGATGGTCCTAGCCGACTCTGAAGAATTTCATTAAACCCATTCTGATCCCATATCTTGTCGTCAGCTATAAGCATTTCTTTCCACTGCTTAGCCAAATTCTTGGCAGACTCTGTAGGTCTCCAATGGAAAATTCCAATGTTGTATGCACCACTAACTATTCAAGGTGATGGACAATTTCATCAATATACACTCTTAAGAAGCAACTAAACAAATAAAATAATATGCACATTAAAATGAGAGATGAAGAGAAGCAACAACAGGTAAAGGCAAAATGAATTGGTTACTGGAATTTGAAAATGATATGACCAAGCAGCGAAAACATTCATCAGAGTAAGAGCAAAAGGTTGCATGCTGAAAATTAATTTGCTAGCTCCTAACATGAATCAAATATCCCAGAAGCTTAATGGTAGGTTCTTTTGATAAAAACCAGACGAAAACAGAGAGAAAGGGGATTTATTTATGCCCGCGGGTTTATAGATATGAAAAAGGAAAAGAAAATTTACACCGAGGCAGATACACCCCTACACTAGAAAATTTCTAGTCGGCTAAACAAATGCCAAAAGATCCTTCTGAAAGGGGTATGAAGATCTATTTATAGACATCCTGTACAATGGGGAAAGGGAGAAGGTTCAAGCAACTAACACCTAAATCCAAGGATAACTGAAAACTCCTACAAACCCTGGTAACTGACTCTTAAAACAGAAACAGCTAACACGAGAGCCTAACTATCCTTATTTCTATATTTCTTTCTGAAACAACTCCTTAGAGGTTCAGCATCCGTGCTATTATGATTATTATTATTTTTTATTAACATTATTTCTAACACTTAAACTATTGGGTGAAAGCTTTGAATGGTTTTTTATCTAACTCCCCCGCTTAAGCAAAATCCCTTTGAGTTTCATGCGCAAACAATGCCCGGGCCTGCCCTACTTAATGATTAAATCTAGCTTTCATTTGGAGGAATGGGGAAAGAAAGGATATAACTCTATAACACATGGTCATAGAAGCAATAGTACCATGTGGTAATTAACTATTCCAAAATCTTAAGTTGTTGAGTTAAAGCACATGAGTGGTTCTATATCTTTAGTTTATAATCTAAAGCAAGCCTTGTAAATTGGAACTATTTTTTGACACAAAAGATGGCTATTATTCAAAGAAGCGGCATTTTCATGTCCATGGATGTCTTTTTGGCTCTTGTTTATATAATTCGTCATATACATTGCACACACAGAAATAATATGCTACAAGAACTGACGTAAGCACAATAAAAATGATAACAGTAAATTCTCGTCATTGTATAATATTGACCTTCTTGCCAAATTTCTAAATTGTCATCAACTACTGTTGGTATAACTTGATCACTTGAAGTTAAAATATCTGCTCCTGGATAACGAGCAAGATATGGAAGTGGATTCTGTTTAACAATTGCATAAATGAAAATACGTATTAGGAATGACATATATACAATTGTACATAATAAATGTAATGGATAAGAAATCATAATAATGACACCAGATACAAAGTCCCAGACGTACTCAAGTCAAAACAACATACAGCAACCCTAACTACATGGCAAAAGAACAAACTCAAACGAGAGCCTCTAACACCAACAAGAGAGCAGAAAAGAAAAGTACACTGGAAAGGAAAGGTGAATTTAAATCTTATAGCAAGCCAAAGAAGAAATTTAACAACTTATGATAACATTTGATCATTAATTAAAATCTAAGCTAGCATTGGATCACCCTTCTAATTAAAATGTTTTAAATTAAAACATAGTAACTTAAGAAAACGTAATAACATATATGTAAAATTGAAGGTCACCTTTAACCAAACTGTGTCAGTATCACACATCAGTACTTCAAAACCAAAAGGCAGAATTGAGTCTATCAGAAAAACTTTTTCTCTCCCCATTTTATGAAATGCTGGAGTACCCCAGCCAACATCTACACTGCTCATATGGCTGCCCATGTCGAAAACTGGTACTCCTTTCCAATACAGCACCTCCAATAACTTGGTGTCCATTGCACCTAAAAGTTAGATTCAAACACGGTCTAGTTAATGGTACAAATCTGAATATGTATTTTCATCAAGGCATAACTGCAAGTCTAAAAACAATACACAACAGAACAGGATAGAAGATACTTGACAACACTCACCAACAAGAAGATTAGAAACTCCTAGATCAGTCAATTTCTTGACCCAAGTCAGAATAAAATCCATGAATGCATAGTTACCAAAGGTCACTATTACAACGTTATCTTTCACCCGCTGCTGAACCAGTTCTTTGGTCAGTCGAAAATCCTTCAAAGGTGGCATTTTTTTATTTGAGGGTGGAACTTCCCAAACAGAACTTGGCCACACATTCTGTTTATTGGACACAGCATGCACCTTTTCTGACTGAGAAATATTGAGTGTTTGATCTATAAGGCGGGGATTCTCAGCTGAAAACACATTTTCAATGAAGGTTTTGAATCAAACTAACAATTATGGAAGAAAGCCATAGATTAAAGAACATAAAACAAGCACAACTAGTTCAATATAGTAGCTGTGTCATGTATCCATATTGAACAGATCAACGACATTTCAAATATTCCTAATTGTTATCTTACAACACTTTTTTCAAAAAGGTATTGTTAGAAGGCATCTCATCTCATGGACATTTTAAATATTCTTAGTTGTATCTTACAATGGTTTTTTTACTTCAATTTGTTTTACCAATACAACAACAAGCAAGCAAGCAATATCCCACTAAGTGAGGTTAGCTACATGATCAACTTTCTCCCTAGTGTTCTATCCAAATCATTAATCTTGAGATCTTTCTCAACAACTTTTCTTGTATTTTTTCTAGTTCTTCCTCTACCTCCTGTTGTTTGACTTCTCTCCATCTGAACTACTCTTCTTATCACAGAATCTACCAGTCTTCTCTCTACATGCACGAACCACTTAAGTCTACTTTCCACCATTTTTTTTTCACTATAGGTGCTACCCCAACATTCTCTCTAATATTGTTATTTCTAATCTTATCTAGTCTTAGCACACATCCAACGCAACACCCTAATCTTTATGAAATTAATGCAACAAAAGTGCCTTCCACAGGCACCACCAGTTAATAGAGTCTTTTTTTTTTGCTAACCATTTTATTCTTATTGGTCTAAGCTATCCACCGACTTTGACAATGACTAATCTATGTCGAAAAATCTGGTTGATTATCTTCAGTGAGGTCTCCCCTTCCAACCACGTTTTCCATTCACAATGCTCGACTCAAGACCTTGCTTGAGAGATCCGAATCCAGTTTCACTTGGATCAAAAAATCATGGGTGGTTGGCAGAGTTCAAATCACAAAAAAAAAAAAAAAAAAAGCAGAAAAAATACTCTTTCAAAAGCTCCAAGTATAATCAACTCTGGAGACAAAATCAATTCTACTTTAAAAGAACCAAACATCTCAAAATCATTCCAGAATCAACTTTACAGCTCTTGAATTGCTTTTGCCTCTTACAAAAGCCAAACCAAACATACACTAAATTTAAAAGTTTATCCTACAATCATCAAATCTATAACTACATTATCTACAATTCGACTAATCACCCATACTCCATAGCTCAAATTCAATGAAATTTACATTAAACAATTCGATTCAAAACTTCACACAACAAAATCCCTTAACCGTAACAAAAAAAAATCCTAAACCACAATTAAGATCATGAAGTCGAGTTGAGAAACGTACGAGAGATTGAAGAAGCCAGCCATGCAGAAGAATGAGCAGCAGGAGTGTCACTGGAATAAATAGCAGAAAAAACGTAGAAAGACGAAACAACGATACCGATAATAACAACAGTGTAGATCGTGATGAACAGAGGCTTCGATTGCGTCAGTTCCTCACAAGCGTTTCTCCAAGCCATTTTCGTGAAATGTGGTTTCACGATAAACGACGTGTTGATATCATCGTTTCTTCGTTGATTAAGAAGAAGAAGATGATGGTGATGAAAATGGAAAACCTAGAATTGAGATTTGAGATGACTGAGAGAGGTTTATGAGAATGAGATTGGTGTTTGGAAGAAGTTGTGAAAGTGGGAGTGGTATGTTATGGTCAACTGGTGTGTGCTGGTATATGCTCAACATCACATTATTTGTATTAATTAAAAATTAAAATAAATAATTTCTCTCTCCTCCATTAACATAATCACTCTATGATGCAATTAAAAAATAATTAAATTTTAAATAAATTAAAAAAAAATATTTTCTTCTTAGTGATTGTTTCTAGAAAAATGAATTTATGTTTGTTCTTATGTAAGAATTGCTTTTATTATTATTGATTAATTAAAATCGGTCTCAATTGCGTCTAACAAAATTGAAATTTTAGATTTTGAGGGGAACACACCCTTAAAACCCAAGCCTTCACCATTAGGTCACACACGCACATACCTCTTCATATTTTTATAATGGCAAAAATGTCTCTAGTCAAAAGTTTAAAGTAAAAAGTCAAAGTGGTAAAATAGTTTGAATGAGATTGATTGACTTTTAGTTTTCTCACAAAAAATGTCAAAGTATTATTAAGTTGTTTAAAGTTTGATTAAGAAAATATTTTGAAAATGCATGGACCTAAGTTCAAGTTTATTGTGAAAGTGGTTCAAGTTTAGAAAATAAGAATAGTTTTGAAAAGGAGAGAGAAGATTTTTGAAATTAAAGAAGATGGGAGGAGATTAAGGGACTATCCCAAAGCATAAGCTAGGGAAAAGAACCATTTAACCAATAAGAAGTCAACACTTAACACAATGAGTCAATGTAGATTTCTCATCCTTTAGATTGAAACCAAACAAACGAAGATATTAAACCTCTTAAGAATATCAAACTTCAAATGCATTAAGTCTTCATAAAAATTGGGCAGAGTAACGGTTGTATACAGATAGATCCCCAATTGCAGACAAAGCATATAACCAAAATAATTTGCACACAAAGAAAATAAACAACCCAATGTCTCGGGGTAAACCCCAAGAACTTCAAACAAAATAGCAATTGATGTCACAAAGTCCCAAGGTAGGTCAAGGCCTCTAATCCTAAGTCCAAGAAGTCCATAATTCTAAAATGCCAAGGATAATAACCAAATAGTCCAAGTAATCTTAAAGTTTTTTATTGTTCAAGTTGGTTATTAGGTATCTTCAAAAAGAAAATGAAAAGCTCAAGTGAGCAAAATAAAAAGACATAGAGATAAATGCTCAAGTGAGCAAAGAAGAAAATAACATGAAATGTAAATGCTAAAATAAATGGTGCATAAAAGTAAAGACATAAAGTAAAAGTATAAAAATAAAAGTCAATAGTTAATGAGTTAGAAATTAGAGGTTAGTTGAATGACCATCTTGAAACTTGCATTTGAAAACTCGTTAGAAGATTGATAAAATCAAAGCCTCTTAACAATAAGTTTTATTTACTTTTTGTCAAGTATATCATTCATTTCAAATTCTCAAGGCAACAACAGATGATCAACGATGTTTAAATGATTCGCTTAATTCAAAATTTATTAAGATTCATTAGAAGATTGATAAGACCAAAGCCTCCTAACAATGAATCTCAAGGTTATTGAATCAAAGGTTTCAAATTAAACATACTTGGACTTACAAGCATAGGTTTGGGCCACGAATGATCATTTCTCGAATCGGGACAAAATTTAGCGCTATGTTAAACAATCGTAAGTGGACTTATGTAGAAGTCGCACCTATTTTAAGGCTGGTCAATAGCAATCTATGTGCCATATGTTTGGAGTAACGATATGTAAATCATCCTCTAATAACATGTAGCACAAAAGAGAAGGGGATAAGATGAAGAGGGAGGGGATATATTTGAATCAAAAAATTTAATCAAACTATCATTAAAATCACCGATTCATTCTAGTGGAGTTAAACTCAACACTCAAGATCCAATAATGTTAATGAAGTTTATGATCAACAATTACATAGCCGGAATATATTAAAAAAATAAATTACATTTAATGAATAAAATAAAAAGAAAAAATGATTTTTTAAATTGTTTTTAAAATGAAAATAAAAAGTAAAATAGAAAACTATATTCAAAGTATCGAAGAAAAATTTAAAGAGACTGTAGAAAAATCAAAAGTGATCCCAAATATTTTTATAAAAAATTTCGTAATTTTTTAAAACAGAAAAACATTTTTAAATTGATTAAGATCATTCAAATAAACAGAAAAAATGACCAAAAATAGTAGAAATCAAAATAAAATCCTAGAAAAAATTCAGAAAGTCAGAAATAATAAAAATGATTTTTATAAATTTTTTTAGAATTTAAAAAATATCAAAAAGTATTTTTAAAATAATTAAAATAAGGTAAACAAAACAAAAATTATGAAAAATATCAAGCATTAAAATAAAAATATGAAAAAATATTCACAAAGTCGTAAATATTTCAAAGTATTTTTTTATATTTTTTTCATAATTTTTTAATAAAAAATAAAAGAGTTATGAATTTTTAAAGATAAAAGAAATTTAAAAATATTTTTGTAAAATAAAACAAATCAAGAAAAAAACCACCACGTTGGATCTCTTTCACTTATACACGCTGGAAGATCTAATGGATCTGAGGTGAGGGAGTATCATGGACCTAAGCTAAAGTGCGCGCATACAACACAAGAAAGTCCAACCAATCAAAATAAAATAATTGGCTCAGTGTCATTGGTTGAAGAACGACACGTAGGTCGTCTTTAACCTCCAGCCTCCTGCAAGTAGGGCAAATCGAAGATCCTTGAATCTATAAATTTACGTGTTCATAGTGGTACCATTAGATGTGTCTACTTGAGACGATCACAATCATATGCTCGCGAAAAATTTATGTAAAACACAGCGTAGTCGATTTGGAAAAAAACCAGAGATGTTAAAAATGTCAAAATCGAAAATCAGAAGCATCAAATGCATTGTTTCACAAAAATTGAGTTAAAAGCAAGCATCATTGAACATCATAAACCATTCCAGTAATTTGAGTTAGAGGATTTGGTGCCTTAAACTACCTGAACGAAGTCAGATGAACTTGTTGTTTAAATGGACATGGCTAGCACGATTCAGGACACCTAAAGACTTGATTCTTCTTCTGTTAGCTTCAGTGAAGTTCAAGGATGAAGGATCAATGAAGAAATTGGATTGAAAAGAGGAATTCGAAATCTCAGAAAAGTAAGTTATGAAAGGAGTTTGACAGAGGAATTTTGGTTGTTCAAGCTTGAGAAAATGAAAGGAGTGAGGTCCTCTATTTATACGGAAGCGAATGGTGCAAAGAATTCAGAGGAAATTTGATGTTTGTAGGGAAATTGGATCAAGCTCGAAAGTGAAAAAAGTGTGACCCCATGTGCATCAAAACTCAATCAATTCATGCGTTTTGATCCTTAATTCAACTTTGGGAACTTTGTTAAACATGTTTAAATAAAAAATGCGTGCTAAATTGGTGATTAGAAGCCATATTATGAATTTCAAATTCTGACTTTGGATAAAACTTCAGTTTCAAGGTACCATCTTCGAATCCATGGTGTTCATAACTCAAGGAGTCTTAGGGAATGATTCTTGAAGCATTTGAAAGATAAAGTCACAAACTTTACAATATGAAAAGAGTGAGATCAATTGGATGCTTGGGCTAAAAGTTATGATGAGTCAAAGTTGAGAAAAAGATGTTGACTTTTTGTACTTAGAAAAATTCTATGTTTTTCTTCAAAAGTGACCTATAATGTTTTGAGTTCAAACAAGGCCTTCCTCCAAAATTGAGATTTGATCGTTTATGCTAGCTTGAAGTAGAATTCCCAAAGAGAATTGTGAAACTTGAATCACTCAAAAATACCAAGTATTGAAAAAGTTATGGCCTTGTGAAATTGGTGAAAATTCATGAGGTGACCTATAATCTTTTGGGTTCTTAGGGCATCTTACACTCATTTTAAAACTTTTCATATAAAAGAAGAGTTAAAGTTCACATCCTTAAGATCATTGTGGAAAAATAATGGGCTCAAGAAGATAAAAATTGACCAAGTTATGATCTTTTGAAGTCACATAAGGGAATTTCATGGCCTATCTAGAGGACATGTAATTTTTCTTCATCATTAGGAATCTTCCATATAAAATTTGCTTGAAACTTTTGAAGTAATTTGTTTATAATCCTTTAAAGAGAATCATATCTTTGGAATTACTCAAAAATCTCAAAAGATAAGTAATATATAGCCTTTAGAAGTTCAAAACCCTAGCTCTTAAAGCACCAAAATAACTTGGAAACCCCTTTCAATTTTGACAAACATTCTTGCACAATCACTTTTGCCATGTGAATAGAATTTGTTGTGTATGATAACAAGAAACCATATAAACAATAACCACTTTCAAATATTAAGAATTGAAAGAGTTATACACTTGTGATCAAGGAATCAAGAACTTATCCAATTAGGTCAAACTTCTTCAATCAACCCTTGTATCTTTTGACTTTCTTTGACAAATTGAGGCATGATGAATCATAGTAGACCTTGTCATGATATTACTTTAAAACATTCTCAATAATGAAGCTTGAATCTCAATGAAGTTTTGTTGAAGAAGACATGGAAATAAACTCATGAACCTATAGATCAACCTGATGAAGTGTGTTGTCCTTTCACCTATAGCATCATCAATTAGAGCAAGCATTCATAGTATTTATTAGTTAAAGTTAATCAAACAAAACAAGTAAGTCTACAATATACAAATTTAGGTGCTTGGCGATTCCTCGTGAACAAACCTAAAGATAGGGAGAAGAACCAAACCATAATGTGATCTTGTTGTGATTGAGTTGATATGAGATGATCGAGGAATCTTAGGGGGGAAATTAGGGTATAACAGCTGCCCTTATTTAATTGTCTTCTATCCTGAGATACGAAGGTTAAAATATTCATGTC